TTAACATGGTTTCAATTCTTACCATCATAGCGTATCAAAATTAATATCTTAATGCTATACTAAAGTGTCTAAATTGGAGGTTACCTCGCTAGCTTGGAATTTCAGCTTCTGTGAGCCAGACCAAACCAATCATAGAATTTCAATTGATTCATTCAATTTCCTGTTTTTTTATTTATTTTTTTTTTTAGAGAGAAGAAGTGGAGGGATGTTGCGCATGTGCCATAGAACGAATCCTTCTCCAACTTCAATTGTTCTTCCAGAGTCACATCAAAGATCCGTTCAAATATGAACGAATCGTTCAAGAACGGCACGCCACTTTGAGCATTTTTTGCCTCTCCGGAAATCTTTTGCGGAATACATTTTCTAAATGTGATAAGCTCCACAGAACCAATTATTAAAAGAAAACGTAAAGTGCAATTAAGAGCCAGACGCCTGGTGTATGGCAAGAACACAGGGGCTGATGACCGGACAGTGGACACATCCTCATCGCAGAAGCCTCTGGGTACAAAAAGGTCACAGACTGTTGACCATGTCGCTGTCTTTGCTCCGAGCTCTTGTTTGTGTGATGAAGCAGATATTTGCAGACAGGAAACACAGACCCTTACACGACCTCCAGTTCAATTACATATATGATTCAGAGAGAGCAAAAAACTGCTTCAAAACAAACTTTCCTCTCAGTAAGAAACCATTGGCTTAATTGGTACCATGATGTTTCGTGGGGATTCTGGAGAGAGAAATTAGACTTTGGACATGTTGGCTCTCAATGTTGGAATAAATGTGTTCAGCGCAAGATTTCTTAGATAAACTAAAATATATACATTTTATAATTATTTTAATGTATTTGTAGTTAAAGTTTGCTGCTACCCAGAATCCAGTAACAGTCACTCACCAGTTTATTAGTCCTCCTTGCTCCTTTTTTCTTCAGCTGTTGTCGGAGAACAGAACGAAATCTGAAACGTTTCTGCAAAAAACACCTTTACCATGGAAACATTTTTGGCTAAAACGTTTCAAATTCCATTCTGTTCCAGTCACTGGTGGCAGGATTTGTAACTTCAATGCAATATGTGGCATTGTGGGGATAAAATTTAAAAAATTTTACTTTTCACGCAAAAGACGTTTAGAAATGTTTGTAAATCCATGTTTCTGAATCATCTTTGGTGATATCATTTTTCCAGCTAATGATAGTGGGAAACCATATAAACAGCACGATTATTGCAAAGGTGTGTCTTGGGCTGGCTGCAACAAAGGGACTACTAGACTGCTGGAATGTCCACCAGAGCTGTTGCTGGGGATTTCAATCTAGAATTACCATCTCATTTGAGTATTTAAACAAAAGAAGAATTTCACATTTAGTATTTTAATAAATATATATATATATATATATATATATATATATATTTTTTTATATATATATATATATATTTTTTTTCAGCTTTTATTGCATCTCATTTTTAAAAAAGCAGGATAAGACCCAGGATAGACTGATTTCACATACGCGGACAACAAGAAGACTTTGTGCTTTAAAGGGGCAAAATGTTTATATATATATATATATAAAAAAAAATCATTGGTTTAGCCGCATTCAGTTAGCAAGATCTTCATTATAATTGGTATCTTTTCTTCCTCTTTTTTTGAAATCCGTTTAGTCTGGAATTCAAAGTTTCAATGTTCACACTAGAGCAGAAACAAAAAGCTGCACAACCAGATGCCGTGAATACTGCTGATAAAAATATGTGACTATAGCTGACAAACTAACAAGAAACAAGACACATGTGAGAGGCAGGCAGAAAAATCCCATCTGGCCCAGAAGAAAAAAACATCATGATGAAGTCTACAGTGATAAACAAAATCTGTAAAGAAGATCCAATACCAGGTTTTTCTTCTGAATTTTAAACTCTTTTCTATTTCCTTCATTCGCTTATTCCATCAGGGTCAAAAGGTTTACCTGGACTGGCTTATCGCACTGCCAGGACACAGCAGCTGCTCACGGGTGTTCCACAGGGTTCAATTCTTGGTCCTCTACTCTTGTCGACCTACAAAACCACAGACATGGCTTCCCCTACCATTGTTGTGCCAATGACACTCAACTCCACCTGGCTTTCCATCCTGATGACTACTTTTACAACTAGCAAAACAAACTGTCTGAACATCATTTCAACATGGATGAAGCCCCATCATCTGCAACTCAACATTGTAAAGACGGAACTACTGGTTATCCCTCAAACCCCATGATGAACTAAAATCCTCAAAAATCTCCCCCTCTACCTCAGTCTGGAATGATCATTGATAAATCAGCTTGATCATTCAGATTTGCTCTGTTTAACATCAGAAAGGTCAGACAACTCCTAACAAAGGATTCAACTTAACCTCTAGCTCAAGCACTGGTCATTTCTAGACGGGACTGCTACAATGCTCTTCTCTCTGGACTTTTTTCCTGTGCAGTCAGGCCCCTTTAAATGTAATTCTCTTCCAGTCCCGATGCAGGAAAGCAGTGTCTTTATATTGGCTCCCAAAAAAACAGCACAAAAAAAGGCTTCGCATTGGAAAAATAGCAGTTTCAATAGGATTCTAAGGTTTCAAAGGTTTGTGGTGTCATTAGAGGATATTAAGGATTAGTGATGGCACAAATAAAGCCCTTTATGGACATTGATAATCATAGAGCAGGTGTTCATGCACTCCAAAAAACCAGGTTTTCATAGACTTTCCATAAAAAAATAGTTTTCAAAAAATTATTTCAGGTCCTCTGGTCACCCTGTCCTTAGGTTGCCTTTAAACTTTATTCTTATTTAACTTTCACAAAGTTTTCAGTTAATCTTCAAACGTTCTTTTTCAGAAGACATATCTTCAGCCGACATCCTGAGATTGTTTTAGTGAACCTATCATTTCTGCCTTGACCCATTCAAATATTTTTATAAAAAGTCAGTTAATTGAAATGCAGGAACCGTTCCGTTGTACCTACATCGCCCACAATGCCTCTCCTCCAGACGAAAGGCTCAATAGATCACAGAAATGCTTTATAAGGGGCACTAAAGTAAATCTTGTTCTTGTCATCCAGCAGAAATCAATCTGAATGATGAGTTAGTCATAGCATTACTCCTCAAAGGCACTTCAGAGATGAGGGCAGCCTTTAAGCCGAACAGAAACCCTACAAACATGAACCAGCCAAAGTTCACTTTTTAATTTTTAAATTAAAATGGTAACAAATATTTTAAAAAGGGCAAATAAAACAAACCAATTAAAAAAATTCTTGTCTACATAAAATGCATAAAGGGATTGCAAATATATTTACAATAGTGATCTTTATAAAGATTAGTTGTTTTAAGCATGTTTGACAAAATACATATTTGAGCTATTTATATTGAACAATGCAATCACTAAAAAACTATTAATATTTTAGTTGACAAAATTGCTCTATTGGACTGTAGATACATGAGGGATTCCTAAGCCAAAGTAATTAATTGATGGTCATTCTACAAGCAAAACACAACTTAAATAAAAGTTAAATGTTTTGAAATTAGTCCAATGGTTATAAATTTTGCATGTTTTTTTTTTAGCTAAAATATGTCAAAATGTCTCAATACAAAATTGTCCCAAAACTTATAGTGGAGCTACTGGAAGATATCATCTAGGAGCTGAGATGTATTTGCATCTAGGAGTGATTGTGATTCTAGTCACTTCTGAAACTTCTTGTTTTATGTAATATTTAGGAGAAAATTATCCTTTACTCACTTTTAAAACAAGAAAGATAATAAAATTAAGTCTCTCCATCACTTAAATGGAGAGACTTTATTTTATGACTGATAATTTGAGTATAAAAGACTTAATATTAACATTAACACTGCCCCCTAGTGATGGTAAATCAAATGCTCTCATACAAATCAAACTAGATCCTAGCCTTCATAACTTTGTGGTCTCAAAAAATTTAAAATTGGTAAAAATAGTGTTGTAAAATATTGTGATGCACATCGTATCATGGTTGTAAGATTGCAGTGTGTATCGAATCGTGAGCAGAGTGTATTGGTACACCCTTCTTGATAATGTCTAAGAGTTTAACATTTATGTCTAACTTTGTTCAAAGAATAATCTTTTGATTGATCTCTAATCTTTTCAAACTAGTTAAAACAGTCTAGTGTTAGCGTTTGCTAACATTAGAGTATGTACTAGCCCCCAATGCTAATAACTGTTCTTTCTGTTCATGGAGGTAATTATGATGTAAATGATTATGATGTAAAGTATGAGAACATATCCTTTGTCTTGTATTTTTCATTCATTCTGTTCCTTTTTGCGCGCAAAACTATCTTGCTACAAGTCTCTCATGCATTGACAAGCACACTTGAGTGTTCTTTGTTAATAAAAGAATTTCTTGGGAGAAAAACGGAAACTACAGCAGTGACCGAATGTGTTTTAGTGGAATAATCTCCTCAAAAATACAGCAACTTTATAAATCTCTGATGTTAATTTCAAGAAAATAACCATAGGCACAGATGCTGTTTTATCTAATTAAATTAAGCCACAGGCAGTGTAAAACTGGGAGTTGAAAGTGCATATATATATATAATACCATGTGGCTTAAAGGATGTAAGTAATGAGATACAACACACACAATTAACAGCGTGTGAGCTCTTTCACGCAGCCCACAGGCTTTGATTTTCACCTCAGCAGAACTTTCAGATGACTGTCAGCAAAATATTCTCTCAAATCAGTCTTTCAATCTGAAGGATTACTTTAATCTTTGTTTGTAGTTAGCATAAATAAATATATTTCATATTGTATTGAAATTACAAGGCCCAAAATGTTATTGAACAAACATAAACAATTACACCAAATTCAGCTTGATCAATTTGGTCTCAATTTGCTATTCAATGTACTGCATGTCGTGCTACATTGTTGAGTCATTTAGTAATTTATATATTATACATAAATTAAAATATTTTACTCATTTGGCAGAAGCTTTTATCCAAAACAACTTACGTTTTGAATAAATGAACACATTTTCTGTGCTTTCCCTAGGATTTGAACCTATATTTGCGTTGTTAGCGCAATGCTCTACCAACTGTGCTACAGGAAACCTATATTTATGTATATTTTAGGTATTGTTAAAAAAAGTAATATATCTATTAAACATGGTCTCAGAATTAAACAGCTTTATTTAATGGAAATTCCTCTCTCAAGGGTTTTCCATTGGTCTGTACTATTTCAGTTTTCTGCTCAATCCATTTAGAAACTAAGCCATGAGAGGCTCTTTAGCACCAAGCAGCTACATTTGAGTTTTTCACTCAGAGAGCCCTACACAAAATCCTTAAATTACGCTTATTTAAGGACTATTTTTTATTCTGTACCATTGGAAAGAGACAGTCATGAACATGAAAACAAACCTCTCCAACTAAAACACAAAGCCGTGCCACTGTGAAGGGCACAATGAGAGCCTATGAGGACAAAACAAGGTAGTTGTGTCCCAAAGGTTTTGTCAAACAGCAAAATCTGTGATGCCTTGTTTAATAATGTGACAGATATGGACTGAAACTCAAAAGTGTTTAGGTGCAAATGAAAAAACAGCTGTTCTGCTTTGACAGTGTCTCACACATTTTCTATTAAATGTCAGACTTTTAAATTGAAGAGGTTTTGAATAAAAGTCTCAGTCAAAGATCAAAACCCAACTGATCTAAATCCTTATGACAAGCTCAATTTGACACTCAACAGTGTTTAGTCAGGAACATACATTTCTCTTAATTCACAAAGTATCAACATCTACAGTCTACAGGGGGAGCTATAAGGCCAATTAGAAATATGGTGTTGGAGTCATGTCCTTGATTACTTCTCCCAAAATACATTATATAAATGACACATAGTGAAACGGAAGAAATATATGAAAGAAATCTTCATTCATGTGATACTAGGCCATGATTCTATAATTAGGATATATTTTATTCGATAATTAACAAAACTAAAACAAACAAACAAGCAAATAACAAAACTTGCAAAAAAAGGAGAAACATTTACTAAATGTTGCATTATAAAGCCATTTCATTTTAGTGCACGACTATTTTACATTTTAAGGCAAAAAAAATTAACTATACAAATCTTTCTACACATTTTACTACACAAATCATGTTTCTCCCTTTCTGCAAAGATATTTAATGTAAATACAAAAAAAAATTTATGTAGAACATTGAACCGACATTTTTCCTGCTATATACATTACTCAAAATCAATTTTAACCAATAAAACATTTTCTTTTGCATCCAATTGTCGAATGAACAGTTTGAAATAGCTCTGCTCCATTTGGAACATCATCAGAGTGAGAAAAAAGTGAGAACTTTTCATTTGTGGTTGTAGTAACCTTCTAAAACCACATCAGATGTTTTAAATGGAGGGTGATCTAACATTTATGCATAGAAAAATCTAACATACAAAAGGCTTCTAAATGTTCAAAAAAATGAGGACACAGGGTAAATTCATGTTCATTCAAATGTGATATTGTGTTGTAACGGATAAACGAAACCTGTCTATTTTGGTACATCTCAGAGTATATTTATCTACAGAAAATCATCCAGCCAGACACAGTGACCCCAAAACCCTTGTGCCCCCTAGCACTGTTCAATAGGGATTCCAGCCGATAACAAAGAAAGTTCCCAGCAGGTTTCTTTCCAACTGGCTTGAGCCAGCAAGCTTTCCATGATCTGATTAGGAGCTCATAGAGGATTCAGAGAAAACCCATGGCATGAACCAACATGTTGACACGGATCTACGGCAGTGTGGAAGGTAGGAAATGCCACACACCCCTGTCACATGCTCTTGCTTCATCCAGGTTCAGATTAGTGTCACTGCATCTGATTCCCTTTGACTACTGCTGACTCTATCTACATCTAATGCTGACTCCGTTTCCATCAACCACATTTCTGAAATGCCCCAGATGAGGCTTCAGGGCTCTGTTTCAACACAGCTGAGCTGACTTGCTTTCTTCTGTCCTCAAAGACAACTTCAAACATTAAGTCCATGTACACGAGGCAGCTGCTTCATTTGGACATGGGTATAAACACACTAAATTAATAATAAATGCAAGTCTGCCATTATTTACTTACACAACAATTAATGCTAACGTCTTTAAGTGTGTTTTGTCTGTTGAATATCACATTCTGGAAACCAGTAGTCATTTCTGCACGATGTATTTGGTGTCCCACAAAGTTCAGTTTTTGGACAACATTAAATTAATATGTTGTGTATGTTACTGGCAAAGTGAGAAATTCTGGTACTCTATATAATGACTAGGTATTGTTTAGAAGGCTAAAGAGTTTTGGCAAAATGTGTGTTTTTGGTGTTGAACAATTCTTTGGCTTTCTACAGAATGGCTGGTGCACCGTTTACACCAAGTGTTTAAAGGGCAGAAGAGGAGAAGCATTTATTAAATAAGGTACATTGAATACTTGAAGAACTAAGGTCACCGGAGTTCAGCCTGTTATGGTTCTTGAACCTGCACTCCATACAATGACTCTAGAACCCATGGGACAGAAGGATGACGGGAGAATTTACACTATATTTAAAATCACATTTAGTCAGTTCTTGCTTTCCCTGGCGTTCAAACCCGAAACCTTTGCGCTGCTAGCGCAATGCTCTAATGACTGAGCTACAGGAAAGATACGGGCTAGAGATAATTATGTCAATATCCACAGAGCAGTAGCATATGCAATCTTGCGATAAATATTGAAGCATGTGGCACTAGTGTTCCTTGCCAGCATAGCACCACAGAGAACAGTGGCTGGGGCGATGTGGTGAGGGATATTTTGCTGGCAACATGTACAATGCCTAGGAAATATAAACAAATGTAGATGTAGGCATTTTTTATCATTTTAACTTCTCATTCAAAAAATTGCCAGATTGCACGCATTTCTGCATCATATGTATTATCTATTTTATCAAAGATACCCAGTTGTATTTACTTTAGAGATCAGACAGTGCTACAAATTGTTGGTATTTTAAATTTAAAGCTGAATAGGTTTTGTGACAAGTTCCGGTGTTTATCAGTATTCCCATGGCGAAGCAAGGAATTAACAGGTTGAGTATAAAAAGAGCCCAAAGAGACAACTAGTTTGAGCTCTGTCTGGTGTCTGATGGTCCACTAATCTGTTGATCTCTCCGCTTGTGCCTCAGAGTCAACGTTAGTGTGTGTGGCAGGTAAGAACATGCAAAGCTAGGTGTCTGGAATGCCCCACAAAGCCCTTAAGTAAGGTGAAGGGGAGGCAGAAGGGGGAGCTAATAGAGGAATAATGCTTGATTACTTCTCCTGAAACACATTATATAAAAGACGCACAGTGAAAAGGAATGAGAGAAATATTCATTCATGTGATACTAGGCCATGATTCTATAATGGCATATTTGTATTCAATCATTAACACAGATATAATTTCTGTTAAAATAAAATTAATTGAGAGCTAAAACAAACAAAAAAAATAAATAGAGAAAAACACAAAACAATTGACCAAGTGTTGCATTTTAAATCGGCTTTAGCCAAGCCATTTCATTTAAGTGCACTGCTAAAGAGACAACTAGTTTGAGCTCCGTCTGATGTCGAACAAACATTGCACTAATCCGTTGCTCTCTTTGCTTGTGGCCCTGAGTCAAGCAAAAAACCCAAACCGTGAAGGTTCTGAAGCCAGCACTACTTGGAATAGCCACGTCACTAACAATAACCTGGGATTCTCTGCACTTCACGTCTACCTCGTTTTTTGATGCACATTTAACATTGGTTTGATCTTTTTTTGCTTTTTTGGAGTATATGATTTTTTTATTTTGATTTAAAAAAAACATTTAGTCCTACTTTGAACTGTATTTTTTTGCATTTCAAAGTTTGTTGTCGAATTATTGTGTAATGCAATGAAAAATATATATGTTAAAAAAAACCCTGGCATTGTACTAAAAACCAAAATCAAGGATTGCCTCAAAAAAAAGGGTTTAAGTCCTGGCCCGTGGTGTAGTGGACGGTGCGCAGGGTGACGGAGGTTCGAGTCCTGAGCCTGCTGTTTTCCCATCCCACCTCTCTCTCCCCCTTTCTTCCTGTCTCCCTCTTCTGTTCTATCTGTTCAAATAAAAACCAATAAACATATTTTAAAAAAAGGGTTTAAAAGGTAATTTATTGGAGCAAATTGTAACGTAGTAAAAAAGCACTCAAAAGTGAAGGCAAGTGAAATGAGGAAAACATGTTTCTAAAAAATGACAAAAGTTTTTTCTCTATGATTCATGTCTATTGTTATCTTGAGCCTCAACACTTTAAAACACCCACGCTGAGTCGAGTAGGCAGACACTTAAAAATAAAATCAACTATTGTTCTCTTCTTGATTCTATTATAATAGCATGAGTAGCCATCGGGTTACCAAGATGAGAGTGATTTAAAAGAGATTGATCTTTCAACTCTAAAGTTATAATAGAGATTTGCTTTTACTCTATTTTAAATCAGTTCTAAATTACAATTTTATAGTAAGGGAAAGTAGTTGACCCAACAGAACAGGTAATGGTTTGCACTTATGAGGGAAATAAGAATTTGACCACTTTGTTGTTCACTCTGTTGGCAGTGAAAAAGGGATAGACGTTTTAAATAGCTAGCACCAGGTTTGCACACAAGGTTTTTCCTATTTCTCTTTGCAGATCACCTTGATGCCATTAATATCTGGAGGGTCATGTGTGGAACTTGAAACCTCAGCTCACCTTTTTGTATTTATATAAAAAGACTGTGTGTAAAATTCTGCTTTCTATTGTAATAAATACTTGTTTAACGGAATAAACTAAAAATTGAGGGGTGAGGTGTACCTACAATGTAAATAAAAGATCTCACCATTCTTCGTAAAATGGAAAACTCCAAATACTTATTTTCCGCACATAATCTAATAGTAATGTTATGCACTGAAACCTCAATATGTGTTAATACATTAAGTGATGGCACCTATCAGATAAATCAATATTAACTGCCCCACTGATGTACGTAATCATTTAAAAATCATTTACTTACAACTGAATAATATCAGTATAGTGTTGATCAAACTGGTTTTTCAGCTTTAACCAAGGCACTGATAAAAC